AGGTCCCCTGCTGCTTTGTTCTGAGTGTTTCTCGGCACTATGATGGCTTTCCGCAGTGCCTGCCTTCTCTTGGTCCTGCTTTCTCCAAGTGCGTAGGAGTGAGTAGGAGCCTGAAATTCTGGATTATTTCCCCCCTCTACCTGGGAGGAGAAATGCAGAGGACAAAGCTCATGAGAAAGAGAGGTGAAGCTGAAGAAGGTGGATTAGACCAGGCACAGGCAAACTCAGCCCTCCAGATGTTTTCGGACTACAAGTCCCATCATCCCTGACCACTAGTCCTGTTAGCTTTCTTTCTATACTTGAGCAATACAGTTAATAACATTTGAAATGCTCCTATTCTGTATCTTCTGCACACACAAAGTCATCCCTTACTACCCAGGCACTCATTTGACCATGGCTCTTTCTCTTTACCAGTTCAGTTCCTGATGAGATTTATAAAGGCTGTGCCAGCCCATCTTTTTGTGACATGGCCAAGAAATCTCCGTATAATAAATACTTTTTGGGCAGAATAACTGAAGCACGATGCTATGATACACTGCCTTCCTCAGAACAGCTCAACTTTGAAGGGTTCCACTATTTGCTGCAGTATCCTTTTGGATTCCACTATTTGCTGCAGTAGTGGAGGTGGAGGTTGCTTGCCTGGTGGTGGGAGTGCAGAGTGACTGGGATCCACAGGACTCCTAAGTCCTCTCTTTGGCATTTTGTGGAGGATGAATGGGGTGCAGAGGATAGAAATTCTAAAGTAGGAAAGGGGGGCTTGGGGGCTCTGACTCGTGGTTATATGGTATATGGGTTAAAATTGCCTTTGTTTATAATCAAAATATAGCACTCCATATTTCAATGAAATCTCTAAGTGGCTAACAATATCAAAAGCACATCATCAAAAATTCAAACAAATACAATAAAAAATTTCCCACCAACTTATCCAGAGGAGAACATTGAAGAACGGTTTAAAATGCAGCTGACTCTGGGCTATTGTAGCTGCTTTTCTGGCAATTTGCCATGCAGCACTAGGCAGCCAGGGGAGATTACTGCTGTCTGGTAAAACTCTGGAGAGCCATTGAGGAACTCAGGAGAGAGGAACATAAGAGGATCCCTGCTGGATCACACCAAAGACCCCTCTATGCTGTTCCCATATTCCCATAAAATCATATGCCTACAAGGAACCCAGAAAGCAAGACATGTACACAATAGTATTCTTCCCTCTGGGATCTCCAGTAACAAGTAACAAGTATAAAGAGCAGTAGAGTCCTGCCCACAAATGGGGCACAGTCCTTCCACTGAAAATGTCAAGGGATTAAAAAAGAAAAGTGCCCCCCCTCAAAAAATCTCAAACTATAACACTTTCCTGTCTCATGCATGTGTCTCTTATTCTCAGATCAATCTGTTCTTTGCACCACTAACTCAATCCTTGTCCAAAATGTAGCTTTGGCAAATGAGTCCCTATACCTCTGTGCCAAAAGGGAGATGGATTGATTGAAATGAGTCCCTTCGGTGTGACTGCTTGGGCTGCACAATGTTCAGCCCTACTAGGAAGGCCCTGATTCCATTTGTTGTTATGAGGCCTATCCTGCTATAACAGATAAGGGATGATCGATGATCTCTGGCTGGGTAGGCACAGAGGTGAAAGCTGTTTCCTGGTTCTGCTGGATTTCTCAGTGGCTTTGGATACCATTCACCATGGTAACCGTCTGGATTGTCTGGAGGAGTTGGTAGTACTGCTATACAGTGGTTCTGCTCCTTCCTCCTGGGCGTTGCCAAGAAAAAGGTGTTGGGGGATGAGCGTTCAGATGCCTTGCTGCTCATGGCACCCTCTGAGTTGGCAAGGCTCAACTCTTAAATGACTGAAATGTGTCCCAATATAGGACTGTGATTCATTAATCTTTCCCCAGAATGTCAAAGTGAGTGAATGCAATGAACATCCTGCGTGAGTGCCTGGAGGTGGATGGAGGATGGATGGTGGTTAACGGGTTGAGGTTGAATGATGACAAGACAGAAATACTGTTTCAGAGGGCCAAGAGGTAGGTGTGGGTGTGGGTGTGTGAGGGGGGGGGGACTCCTTGGTCCTGAAGGACCAAGTGTGCAGCCCGGGAGTCATTTTGGATGCACAGCTGTCCATGGAGGCACAGGTCAATTCTGTTTCCAGGAAAGTTGTCTACCAGCTCCATCTGGTGCGCCGGCTGAGACATTACTGCCCAAATGCTGTCTTGCCAGAGTGGTACATGCTTTGGCTATCTCCTGCTTGGATTATTGCAATGTGCTTTACTTGAAACTACCCTTGAAGGTGACTTTGAAACCATAACTGATCCAGAATGTGGTTGCCATACTGGTGACTGGGACTGGCCACTAGGACCATATGACACCTAAAGGATCATGAAGGCTCCCAGTGTATTTCCGAACACAATTCAAAATGTTGGTGCTGACTTTTAAAGCCCTACGCAGCGTTGGCCCTGCATACCTGAAGGAGCGTCTTCACCCCCATTGTTCATGATGCTAAGGTCCAGCTCTGAGGGCATTCTGGTGGTTCCCTCACTGTGAGAAGTAAAGATACAGGGTACCAGGCAGGCTGCCTTCTTGGCAGTGGTGCCCTCCCTGTGGAACACCCTCCCACCAGATGTCATGGAAATAAATAAATACCGGTACATAACTTTTAGAGAGAAATCTTTGCTCTGCGCTCCCCCCAGCTGTCATTCCTCCTCTGGTGACTGCTATGAATGCATGACCTAACTGCCTGCCTCCAGGCACTGTGGTGGTCTGCAATGGACTCCCAAATAGCTGGGTGGATGTTGCCAATCATCATGTCATGTTTGCAGACATATTTGTAACCCAGAGTTGGTCTGCCAATGGGTCTGGTGCCTGAAGCCAGCTCCCTGTAGAGCATATCCTTGGGGCCATCCTACCATCTTCCATTCTCTGGGAATGACCAAGCCAGTGCAGAATCTTTGAATGAATTAATCTTTATTTGTGTTAGCCATTGGCCATAGCAACAAAACAACAATGTGATATACAAGGAACAGAAATAAAAAGTCAATTATATAAAACACACCTTAGGGTCCTGAATCAGCAGTCAAATAGTGGACCTTATTCTGATTGCCCCAGCTAAAAACCTAGCAACCTTTGCTGTCATCTGCTCCTCTTGATCTACCAAGAGAAAGGACACTGTGGCAGTGGTTGGGCAACCCAGAATGGATAATAAAAGAGAATCTTTGTGATTCTGTCCTGTCATGTAATGCCCAAAAATCTCCCTGATACAGCACATGTGGAAGGCATTAAGGTGTGGCCTATAGTGGTTGTAAATTGCCCACAACATACATTAATAAAGCAGCATGCTCAACGTGCAAGGCTAGTAGACCTTCAATTTGGTATTGGTCATAAGTATCACATTCTCCCATACCCTTTTGGAGAGTTGAGCCATTGCTGCAGCTGGCCTGCCAATACACTTGCCCATTAATGGAGAACTTGGTGGTTATGGTAAAACCCAGGTAGAAAAAAAACATCTGTCACCCCATGGATGTCTGAGTGCTGTGAAAACAATGAAACAAAAAAATAGATTCATCTTCACTTCTATTTATGTTTTGAAGGATACATTTTGTAAAATGATTGAACATTAAAGAATTGAACACGTTAACTTGGCTGACTCTAGTGATACAACACTGAACTTTGTGTTCTAATAAAACATTATACGCAATCTCTATTTTCATCATCTCCCTCCTCTCACTGGTGTAGTGGAGCCAGTGTGGTGTAGTGGTTAAGAGCGGTAGTCTCGTAATCTGGGGAACCGGGTTCATGTCTCCGCTCCTCCACATGCAGCTGCTGGGTGACCTTGGGCTAGTCACACTTCTCTGAAGTCTCTCAGCCCCACTCACCTCACAGAGTGTTTGTTGTCGGGGAGGAAGGGAAAGGAGATTGTTAGCCGCTTTGAGACTCCTTAAAGGGAGTGAAAGGCGGGATATCAAATCCAAACTCTTCTTCTTCTTCTTTCCAACTCTAGCCGCATTGATCCAGGCCAGTGTCTTCCTCCACAGGTCCCCTGCTGCTTTGTCTGAGTCTTCCTCAGAGGTATGAAGTTGTTCCTCAGTATCTGCCTTCTCTTGGTGCTGCTTTCTCCAGGTAGGAGTAGGAACCTGAAATCCTGGTTTATTTCCCCCCCCCCCATCTAGGAGGAGATATGTATGCAGTGGACTAAGCTAGGAAGACTGAGATAGGTTCATGGATGAGAAAGGAAGCTGAAAAAAGTGGATTAGACCTAGAGGATCTGGGGACACAGACTATAAATTTTGGAGGGTGGGAGAAGACCAACAAACCACATTTCCAGGACCTATAATAAATAATAACAATAATAATAATAATAAATTTTATTTATATCCCGCCCTCCCCAGCCGAAGCCGGGCTCAGGGCGGCTAACAACAATAAAACAGTACAAAAGTACAACACAAACAGCACTCTAAAATCATTCATTATAAAATTAATTCTATAGCCATTCAAAACAAAATCTATCCCCTAAACACCTCACTGTCAAATAGAATAGTAATTTTGTTATGGGACTCATTAGTTGAGGGTCTGGTAGAGATTACTTCTGTTTCATGAAGTTGGCTTTATGTAAGTCTTCACTGGTAGTGCTTGATTTTAGGGTCAACACTCCCAGTGTTACCTGTGCTGATCTGGCTACTCTGCTTTGGCTTGATAAACTTCTCATGAGACTGGGGTACCAATGTGGCTTATAGGCAACCTTCCAGCTGCAACAGGTTGCTTATGACCCCTATCTGTGGATTCACCCTTTGCCTTGTGTTGGTAATTGTGGTTCCCTCAGCTGGCCAAGCAGCAGTTTGGCAGGGCTGATGAGCACGATTTCCATTGTGAGGAAGGTTGATGGGGAAGCCTCTCTTGGTGTGCCTTTTTCCCCATTACCCTCATGCACCCAACAGCTTTTTGTGAGCTGTGTGCAGAATGTGTGGTGGGATTTCTGAAATTGCACTGTGATGCTCAGTGCCCATCTGACTGGTGCTGGGACAAAGTGAGATCGACACAGCCAGATATCTGGTCAATAGGAATGCAGAAGGTAGAATGGGGGTGGTTTACATTTTCCTATTACCATGTGTTATGGTGGGGAACGGGGATGCCTTTGCTCTAGTGTGTGAATGCATAAATCAATATAAACTATTTGGCTGTCTGTCACTGTGTGCTTGTGTGTGAGAAGGGGGGGGAGGTGTGTGTCTGTGAACATGCATCTTTCAATCCATTACTGTTTGTGGATTCTGAAAGCTAGTAAGATTGTTATATGACAAGACTTTCAAAATTCCATTCTGCACCTCAATTGATTGGTGGATAGGAGGAAAGTGTGATGGGGTGTCAGGGTGCTTCGCATCTCTGTGTTTTGAGGAGTGGAAACATGTGTATGCATATGTGGTTATGAATAGGAAGAAGACTATGCATCTGCCAGTTTCTCTGTATATTTGTGTGTTTGTGTGATGGAGGAAGTTGGTGTTTCTATGTATGTAGCCCTCGACCCACCATTGCAAGTGGATCCTAAGAAGATGAAAACTGCTCATGTCTGGCTGGGTGGATTGCATCCAACAAAGGGTGCGATCATGGCCATATTTCTAACCGTGAATGTAGATGTCATTTCTCAAAAAATGGGCAACTCAATGGGGTAGCACTGTCTCCTCCTCTTTCCCTGCAGCAATGGCATATGAGGAATGTTTTGACAATTCTTTGGGTGAAGATGCATGGGATCCATTTTGCGCTATTGAGGATGGCCTTTGTTTTGCCCATTTAACCAGAAACGGGTTACGTAAGTACAAAACTTTTCTGTCTTATTAAAACTGAGTCTGTGGGCCTACCATCCCTAGAGTATCTAGGGATGACTTGCATATGTACGTTCACGAGAAATGTACGTGTGAATCTTGATCTCATCCTATGTTGAGAGACAGAAACCATTTTTTTTTAAAAAGTGGAGAGATATTTCATGTATTCAGCTGAGTCATTAAGTGCTGAACCATTAAAGAACTAGAAAAGATACAAGGTGTATATGTGAGTTTATACGTGAACCAAGCCTGTGATTCTGCCTAAAACACTTTGTTTAGTCTGTTGACATATAATGGGCTTGCTGTCTAAGGTGCATCCAGAAGATTTCTCTTGCTGAGGTCCAAGAGATGCTGCCTGGGCACATTCATTGAAGAAAGGGCTCAAACTTCCCACCATTTCTCTTAGTCAAATGATCTCACCTCTCCTGTCAAGCCTCTTATTTGCAAAGAGAATACTCAAAGGACCTATTAGAGGGACCAGAGAAACTTGACCAGAAGAAGCCAAGGCTTCTCCACTCCCATGAGAAGGGAATGAGCCTTCTAAAAACTGAGCTGCTTTTTGCAGTTTGTTCCCCCCCCCCAACGCCTTTCCATCACTGGGGCTGCAAGATGGGATCTTCTAAGAAAGAACCTTAGGCTGAACTGTTACATGACTGAAATGTGTCCCAATATAGGACTGTGATTGATTAATCTCTCTCCGCACTCCCCAAATGTCAAAGTGAGGCTTTAAAAAGTGCCTGGTCTTGTACCACAGTGACAGGCCATAACAATAAACAAGAATGTAAAATTGCTGGGGCATCATCAGGTAAGTGAATTAACTGACCTGCCATAGTTTGGAAATTTGGGCAAAGAGGCAGTAGCCACAGGTTCTGTGCCAAAGGGATGCTGAGTTTGGGAGCTCTGTAGAAGTGTTCCCCAAACTCCCCCCCTCAAAAAAAAAAAGACCACTTGCCTGTTGTAGTAATTATAATGTGATGTGCTAAATGCTGTGTGGTTTTTAATTCTAACTTTTGTTATATTCTTTTATTTCTTCTTTTGTATTTTACTATTTCCTATGAACTTGACCTGTGAAGTCAACACTCACCACCGCCTTATTAGCCTTATCTTTTTCAGGGTTTCCAGTTCTTCTTACTGTCGTATTCATTCATTTCTTAGATTTCTATAACACCCTTCATCCGAGGATCACAGGGTGCTTTACAATATAAAAACACAAAAATGTAAAACATAGTAACATCTTCTGTCTCTCAAAAATATAGTTTGAGGCAGCTTCTTGAATTTGGCCTCTCAAACAACTCCACCTTCTCTCATTTATGTGCAAATTTTACTGGAAATATCCTAGAATATTTACATGGTTTTGTTGATTCTTAAAGAAACAACTTGAAGAAATAGACTGCTAAATTCAGTTGTTGAAATCCCCCCCTTATATCACCCATTTAGCCCCCCAAAATCAGTAAGCAGCATACTGTCCCCAAACTTTGCCCCCAAAGACCACTTGCCTGTTGTAGTAATTATAATGTGAGGTGCAAAATGCTCTTGGGTTTTTAATTCTTCCTTTATTACTTCCTTTATTTATTTTACTGTATTTTATTACTTCATATGAACTTGCTCTGTGAAGTGAACATTCATAACCCCCATACTAGCCTTATCTTTTTCCAGGGTTGCCAGTTCTTCTTACCATCTCCTTCATTCATTTCTGTAATTTCTACACCACCCTTGCCTCTTAAAAATATAGTACAAGGCAGATTCTTGAGTTGGGCCACTGAATCAACTCAGTGAATATCAGGTATAGATGGATGAACTCACTTTGAGTGCTTACCAGTTTTTGTGTGTAGAAAAACAAGTCTGTCTTCTCCCATTTATATCCAAATTTCAACAGAAACATCCTCAACTATTTACATGGTTTTGTTAATTCTTAAAGAAACTAAATTCAGTGCTTCCATTCTTTTTCTTAAATCACCCATTAAGCCCCAAAATATGTTAGAAAGCATTATATAGATCTCAATAAGAATCATCTTGATTTTTGTGTGTGGAGATGTAGTTATTTCTTTCCAATTCTCTCTCACAGGTGGCTCTAAAAAAGACAAATTTGTAGTGGGGTGTACTCCAAATTGTACCGAAGAGAATTACAGTTTCACTACAGTAGACGGTTACTTACAGACTATCCGTGAGTGCTGTGCCGATTTTCTCTGCAATGATGAAATACATGATACTGGTAAGTAGCTGCATGCTTTTAGAATTATATATCTGTATATATTCCTAAACATGAATAGCATTGAGGTTTCAAATTTCTTCCTTGGTTGGTTATATAGAAATGACACTGTTCTAGTCCTTGATTCATTCCCCTAGTTTACATGGGAGAGTGTTAGAATCAGCATCACAACCTGTGTTTCAAAGAGAAAGCATGTGTACTGCCCAAAAGCATTTATTGGCATCATTTACTGACGATACTTGGGTGTGTGGATCCCTCCGGATGCATTTTGGGTACTAGAGAGGGGGAAGGAGAGAATAATACATTTCCTCCATGCTCCTTGCTATTCCACTTAGCTCTGGGAGTTGTCCTGCTGGGAAGAACTGGGGAGGAAGTGAGTGGAGCCCTCAGTTGCTGCTGATGGCCCCCCAGCCAGAGAACTACAAAAGCAGCACTGTTGAGAAAAAGGGTGTTGGGATTGTGATGATGGTTTCCTCAGTCAAGGTTTTAAAATGGCCCCCTGCATGGGTTGGATTGTCTGAGTGTACTGCTTGGTGAAAGGAAGGAGTATTAGGGAAGTGGAGTGTACACTTGTTTGTACACAAACAAAAGAAAATATGATTATGAAAACCTTTGGTCCATGCATACATCCATCTTCTCCAGTTTCTGTTTAACAATGTCTTTTCAGTCTGGGTGTATCAGAATCATTCATTTCTTTTTCTTACAAAAAGTCCAAGAAAGTTTCCCTAATTGTTCATATTATTAATAAACGTTAACCTTTTTCTTTTCTTTTTCTTTTACCTGTATTAATTACCACTACCATTACTCTGTCTTGAATAATACTAAATTCCATAAAATGTCCAAATAAAGTCTCTCAGTTGTGATCACACATTGGGTCAGTATTCAATTTTTGTTTCTCATTATAATTTGTTGGTTCATTTTCCAGTTCTGTATATTGTGTTCCATTTCTTTTTGTGTTTATGATAGCATCCCAAATTTTTCTTCTTGGACCTTCCATTTTCATTTTTTTTCTTCAGCCTTTTCCCATAAAAAGTACCATAACATTATTGGCTCCGGATTGTATGCAGAATACTTTTTCTCTACTAGAACTAAAGAAAGGCCAGGACTGAAGTCCCAAAGCTTTGTCCCTTCTTGACTCCATCAGTGTCAAAAGCAGATTATTATCACAATCAGCATTTGTGATTTTATCTTCTACTTCTCCAAATTCTTGTATGGAAGTCATTTCGATTTCCGCATGACAATCTGCTTCCTTCAATTGAATTATTTCCTGATGCAGTCCTGCCAACTTTTCATCAATTTGGTCTGAAGCCTCTGCACATTCCCCATTTCCATTTCCCATATTAGAGTCCTCTGGCTCATTCTTTTCATCATCCTCTGACTCATTTTCTTCTTCATCAAATATTGTTCTGATCATTTTTAATTGTTCAGCCATCAACGGTTGAATACTACCAACAGTTAGTGGATGATCCAAATGTGCCTTTGGCATAAGAGATACTTTTAATGTTCTGAAACGTATTAGCCACTTAATCCATTTTAATGTTTCCTCACAGAATTGGACTTCCATAAGTGTGACTGTGTTATCTTAAAGCAGATTCCTTTCTGCAGATTCCTTTCGCATAGCTAATTATGGCTGTGTCACTTTCATTTTCTCCAGTACTTTAGTGGCAGGGAACAAACAAAGACACAAACAAAAAGTATTGTGGATTTTTTACATACCGGAGTTCCTATCATATGTTTTAATCTTTCTTGTCCACCATAAATCAAGCTTTCTGCTCTACTTTAGACACTTTAAGAATTAGTTTCCTTTCTGTTTTCTCAACAACAGAAAATGGTACCCACAGATTTTCAATTGTAGATTCACCCCAACAAATGGAGGGGTGTCTCTCATTACAATGTCATTGTCCAAGAGATGCTTTTAAAAGAGAGGGTGTGATTCTTATAAGGCAATTTTGTGGCATTTGTGCATGATGGCCAGCTCATTCTAAACCCTGTCCAAATTGCAAGGCCTAGGCTGTAGAAAAATGACCTTGATCCCAACATCTTGGAGCTAACTCCCAGATCATCCTTATGTCCAGAGTGATTTAATAGCCATTCTATTTGTTTGACTATTATCAATCACCATGTAATTATCTTCTGTCAGGCAGAGCTAGCAGAGAAATAATCGCCATGCCTCTCTCCGGGAAGTCCTACACTGTTACCTGGTGTTTATGTGTTTGTTTGTGTGTGTGTGTGTGTGTGTGTGTGTGTGTGTACACATGCAGAGACCTGGGGCCTCTTTTAAGTATTAAGTGTATATAAATGTATTACATACAAAATAATAATAGTAATAAATAAAATGCACAAAAACACAGTTACACACAAACATACACATATATATTCTTCTATAGGTGACAGTACAGTTTGGAACATCGTAACAAAGAAACAACATAATATACATACATAACATTATATACATAAATATATTTAATAGTAATAAGAAATACATGCCACAATGCATAATGGAAGATAAGCAATGCAGAAAAAGCAGCAGTGGCAAATTAGCTACATTGGCAACCCAGCACTGTACTTTACAAGTCATCCACTACAATGTACAACTCTTTTTTGCCCATTTCAGTTGTGACTTTAAAATATAACACATATTTTAAAACAGTACCAGTATGAATATTAAGAGAAGAAATGAGAGAAAAACTATCAGCAGCATATTTCTCTCTCTTGAAAGCTAGCTCTTAATCCCTTCTCCTGCCAAGGACAGATAGCACCCAAAGCAGAAAACACCAAGCAGAAAGAAACTGCTGTTAAAGTTGCCCTTTCAGGGTCAACCTACCAGGGCTGGCTAATCACAGGACGGTCTTGCACCCGAAACCTATCTGTTCTCTCTCTTCCCATCCCAAAGCACACCATAAGACAGGCGAAGTCCAGCACCCCAGTTGCTGGCACCTCTGTCTAGTTTTTCAAGGTAGTAACCAAATCTGCTTGTTTAATGCCAGAAGCAGAGTGCAGTGGAGAATACTGCAACCACCTCTGAGAATTATAGAACTGTAATGTAGGAATTTTTATGGAGATATATGGGTTGGATCTAGGTGTTAACTGTAGTCATTGCTTTTGATAGACATAGAACGTGTTCGCAATCGGCGAAAGTGTGAGGCCTGTCGTGCATCTGGTTCAGAAGGTTGTCCGGACTTGGAAACTATCAGTTGTTATGGGAATGAGACTCAATGCATTTCATTCGTCCTTGTTCATAGTAAGTAGCATTGCCAGCCAAGGAGTGGGAGAGGAGACACACAGCCTGCCAGGGTGCATGGGTTGCTGTCATTCTGTTTGAGGCTTCATGCCAGAAAATAGTTTGAATGTGTGTTGCGGGGGCAGGTTTTATTTTTCTTGAAAATATTACAGTGTTAAACTCACTTTTGCTTCATATTTATATAGATGAGCCTGTATATTTCGGTGGGGGGGGTGAGAAATAGAGAAATAATCTGTTTGTTAATTTACATGCGAGACTGTTTTTTAAAAGAGGGTTTTCGTTAGCCTTTTTTGAAAAGTAAAAGCAGCCATGGAGCTCTGATCTGGAATGCAATTTCAGTGTGGATTGGGCCCCTCTCCCATAATAACTAAAAGAGAATTTAGTTAATTTTTTTCTACATTTTAAACATATGTGTGATATTCAGCTATACAACGTTTAGAAGACATCTGACAGCAGCTGGGGCAACCCATTCAGGTGGGCAGGGTAATAAGAATAAGAATAAGAATAAGAATAAGAATTCATCTCATGATGTGATTCTGACGTGCTTTATATACTTGTGCAATACCATTAACAATAACAACAAAGTTCCTATTCTGTCTCTTCTGCACAAACCCACATCCATTACTACCCATTACTCCTGTGACCGTGCCCCTTTCTCTTTACCAGATAACAGTTTGGTTCCTGATGTATCTTATAAAGGCTGTGCAACCCCGTCTTTTTGTGAGTTGGCGAGGACATCACCGTATAATGGATACTTTTTGGGCACTATAACCCAGGCAAGATGCTGTGACACTCTGCCTTCCCCACAGCCGCTTAACTTTGAAGGGTAATTAGGAGAGGAGAATACCTTCTTCCTTTTGGAGTCCACCACTTAATGGAGGTGAAGGTTGCTTGTCTATGGTGGGATTGCAGAGCGACTGGGATTCACAGGACCCTTGATTTTGAGTCCTCTATTTTGGAAATGTGGTGCAGGGGTTAGAGAAGCTAAAGTAGAAATATGGGTTTTGGGGGCTTTGCCTCACGATATACGCGTTAAATTTTCCTTTGTTCACAATCAAAATAAATTGTTGTTGCTGTAACATCTGTGTTGTGTTTCAGTATTTATCTAATTAAGGATATTTGGTCATGGTGTTGGAGAAGGGCGATGTTCTTAGAAGGATCAAATTGGTAATTGTTATTTTATAGATTGAACAGTATATGTAAGAATAGAAACATATAACAGAGACACTGTATCAGTTATTGCTTTTGTAACTTTTAAAACCAGTTTCTGCAAGTAAAGCTTTAAAACTTACTTTTGTGTGATGTGAATTTATTTCTACACAACGGTCAGATCAGAAAGAAAATTTCCACTAGCTCCTCATTTCTTCAGCTGACACTCCTCTGGCCCAGGGGATCGTTTGATGAGAGGGAGAAGCAACTTGGTCACTTTAACCCGTTGGGTACCCTCTTCTCACGCTCAAGCACTGTAAAGCAATCACTACCCCACCCCATCTGTTGTAGCTAATCAAGGTACACTCAATGTACTTCTTTTGTAGCTGACAACCACATCTCTCTGTTATGTGAGGGGTGGAAACTGTGCACCCCCTTCAAAAATCTCCCAGTTGGGAAATTGGATCTAGCCCTCTAGTTTTCAGCACCCTCATAGCAATTTTTACAACTTGGGCATTTGATAGGTTTAGTCTTAATCTGAGCACTGATTGCAGTCTCTGCCTGCCCCCTCCCCCAAATGGGGTATCCAGAGGAGAAGCTTCTGTTTGTATGCCCATGTGGGGGCAACGGGCCACAATACTCCCCACATGCAATCCAGTGGGGGTATTACCCCATTATGTATGTCAGGACCTCCTCAGCCCAGACACTGAGATCCAGCACCAAGGTCCTTCTGGCATTTCCCACACTGCGAGAATTAAAGTGCAGGGAACCAGGCAAGGGGTCTTCTCAGTAGTGGCGCCCACCCTGCGGAAAGCCCTTCTATCAGATGTAAAGGAGATGAGTAATTCTATATATTTTAGGAGACATCTGAAGGCAGCCCTGATTAGAGAAGCTTTTTAAAGTTTAAGGTTTGCTTTGTTTTTTTATATGCTGGAAGCTGCTCATAGTGGCAGGGCAACCCAGGCAGATGGACAGGGTACAAAGAATAAGAATAAGAATAAGAATAATTCCTCATTTCCAGTTTACCCCAAACTGTGAGTTCTTCTGGCAGGAGGGTTGGAAGGGGTGGGGTCTACCCAATGCCTATGTCAAACCACTTACATCTGTAATCAATAATGTTGTGTTCTGATTTCACCCAAATATCTGTTGTCGTGCCTCCTCTTCTTGGTATTGGTGATGCCTGAAAGGAAAGTGGGGATGCATTGCCACCCAAGTAAATACTGATAGGGTTGCATGGCTGGCATGTTTTCCCCACTTACTTTGGATTTAATTCTCCCCAAAAGCCAAGAGAGATAGAACCCATAGACTGTCTCAGATAAGCAGAGTGGAGGATGAGGCTCATTCTGAAGGATGATGCTGGGTGATGAGGCCCAGGTTGATGTGGCCTCAGGTAACCACTGACAAAAATAGATCAGATGACACAGTTAAGGTACAACCCATTCTACTCTTGCTGGTAATGTGATGCAATATGGGAACATCTGAACAAAGTTCCTGCAAGGGATTTCAACATAGGTATATAAAACTTTCTTAAACCATACCAATGATTACAATATAAACAGCACAGCTGCAGCTCTTCATTAAAACCAGAAAGTTACCAAAAACCTGTTGGGACAAGAAAGTATCCACCTGCTATGAAACAGGCTGTGCACTGTCATGGTGCCTTCTGACCCAGGTACACACTGCTGGGGTCATGCCAAGTTTTGTCACCTGAGCGGTATCTCCTGAGTTCTGCAATTCAGGATCCAGCTCAAGTCCCCATCGCAGCAATGGATAGCACCAAACCTGGTGGTTGAACCCAACCTCACACCCCATCCCAGGTCTGGATTAGTGATTGCAGATTCCTGATGAGTGCACTAGAAATAAGATGGGTGCTAAAAATATACTCCTCACATGTCAAAAGGCAGCGTAAAGAGGTGCCAGATGCACTTCCATGGGGAAGGAATCCCCGAATTTAGGGCCCTCTAAAGTCCTGATACCGTCACAACAACTGATGACAATCCCAGGTACATCTTCCTTCCCCAGCAGAATATTTTTAAATAATACCAGGCCAGGGCAGATATTTAGAATCTCCGCGGAATGGTAGAAGCAGAATTGCCAATACAGTGGACGCTTGGGTTGTGAATGTGATCCATGCGGGAGGCACGTTCGCAGCGATTCGGTGCTTTTGCGCATGTGCAAAGCACAATTTAGTGGCTCTGCGCATGCGTGAGCACTGAAGCCCAAAAGTAACCCATTCTGGTACTTCCTGGTTTGGTGCGGTGCGCAACCCAAAAACACACAACCTGAAGTGTCTGTACAGCAAAGAAGAAGAAGAGATAACGGCTTTGCCAGTGTTTGATGCCTTCATCCTAGCCTGCAAACTTTTGCCATGTACAGATCCTCCTGGTAAGTATTGGGAAGGATTGCATTCACTCTGGATTTGGGGGCATACGTCTGATATGCCCTTCCCAGCCCAGTGTTTAGAAGGATCAGAGAACGGTAAGCTTGCCTAAAGCCAATATCACGTATAGTCAAAGCACATTGGGTGCAGTGGTGGGTAGGATAGCCAAAACTTTCCCCTCTGGATGCCCACTCCCTTGAAGTGGTAACTTCAAGACTTGGTTACTGCAGCATGCAGTGGGGCTGCCCTTGCATCAGGCTTGGAAGCTGCAGCTAGTTAACTCTCAACACCCCCACCAAAGGGCTCTGACACAATCTCTGAGGACACGTCCAAGGCCTTGCAAGGCCCATCTGAGCCCCTGCGAAGCCTCGGAAGTGATGTTTGAGGCCCTAACAGGCCTCCAAATGAGGTTTCAGGTATAAACCTGAGGTTGCATCGGAGGTCTCGTGAGGCCCCAGAAGCAGCTCTGCGGTGGCACCAATGTCATGTGACATTATGATGTCACAATGTCATGACATCATGTTATGTTGCAGGTGCCATTGGACATCCATAATCTGGGGCCCATGTTGACACCCTGGGCCAGAGTGCTCATAAGCAGCAGGCTACTGGCATCGTGTGGCTCTGTGGATGAGCCAGTTGCACTGGTTGCCAAGTTGCTGCCAGACCGCATTCAGGGTACTTGTGTTTATTTTTACAGATTCCTGAGCAATGTGAGCCCAAAGTACATTGAGGACAGCACAATCCCTTATGCTCCACCTTAAGCAGCGAGATCCTCTGGTGGAACAATTCTCCCTACACCCCTGAGGATTAGCCTCCAAGTCAGATCAAGCTTTTCGTGTGACAGGCCCTGCCAGGTGGAACGCCCTGCCAGTAGACTTTTGACAGGAATCTGTGGCAGTGAATGGCCTTGGTGGAGGCCTCGTGCCATCTCCATAGAGCCGTTGGAACCCACGCTCCAATGCCTCAGCCCTGCCACTGTGGAAGCGGGTTCCAACAGAGGCCCATTTGATGCTGGGGCACCTGAGAGCAGTGGCAGCCGGCGGAGGCCTAGCAGCACGCACATGACGTGATGTGATGTCACAATGCACATGCATGCCACTGGGCACCCACAGTCTGGGAGTAAAACTTAGCCATTGTGACTAGTATGCCTAGACAAAGCCACGTCACTTGGTAGCCATCACTACATCTTGCGGGGATGAAACTCATAGCTTAACTACGCACTTTTTGAAAAAGAATCATAGAATCATAGAGTTGGAAGAGACCACAAGGGCCATCGAGTCCAACCCCCTGCCAAGCAGGAAACACCATCAGAGCACTCCTGACATATGGTTGTCAAGCCTCTGCTTAAAGACCTCCAAAGAAGGAGACTCCACCACACTCCTTGGCAGCAAATTCCACTGTCGAACAGCTCTTACTGTCAGGAAGTTCTTCCTAATGTTTAGGTGGAATCTTCTTTCTTGTAGTTTGGATCCATTGCTCCGTGTCTGCTTCCTTTGTCCTGAATTATTCTGTATTTAGCTTCATTGGGTGTCCCTGAGTTATTTATTATGAGAGAGGGAGAAAAACATCTATCACTGCAATAGTGTGAATTCTGATTCTTATTTGTAGATATATTTTCTACCTTCGAATAAAACTTCCAATATCATGATGCTACTATGCAAGTCTATGGTGTGACAATATCAGGAATATTGTGTACAGTTGTCTCACCTCATAGAAGATATTGTAGAGTTGTAAAAGCTTCAGAAAAGGGGTATCAAAAGGAGTTGAATAACTATACAACTTCTCTCTGCGCTCCTTCCAGCTGTTGTTCCTCCTTTGGTGACTGCTATGGATGCAGGCCCTTGGGAATACTGCCATCTTCCGTTCTTTGGACATGACAAAGGCAGTGTACATGTTGTTGAAGCAGGAGTGTGAACATACTGGGAAGGTGGACTTTCATTTAGAGTTCATTCAGACTTTGGCTTCCTGAGATCAAGACTGGTGACACCAAATGGGATATGAGAAACGGGTCGATGAAAACAGAAATGGATCTCTTTCAAGGTCAACACTTCTAGGTCAAACACTGATTCCTGTGCTGATCGGGCTACCCTGTTTGGGCTTGATATACTTCTCATGAGACTGGGCCACCTGCCTATTACTTTCATCACAGCTGAGCAACCTGTGGCCTATGGGCCTCATGCCAGCCACAACAGGTTGCCTATGTCCCGTACCTGTGGATTGACTTCTTGTCCTGTGTTGGTAATTGTGCTTCCCTCAGCTGGCCAAGGAGCTGTTTCCCAAGGCTGATGAGCACAATTTTCATTGTAAGCAAGGTGGAAGCCTTTCCTGGTCCACCTTTCTCCCCATAGCCCTCATGCTCTCCTGATCAACCCAACAGCTATTTGTAGGGCTGACGTGAGCACACTTACCATCACCAATAATGTGGGCTTTGTGTGGAAGTATGGGATGCACTTCTGAAATCGCACTGTGTAGTTCAATTCCCATCTGATTGGGAAGAATTAAGAACCACACAGCCAGATATCTAACAAGGATGGGGGAGATAGAAGAGGGAGGTGTGTATATTTACATGCATCTTTCAATCCATCAATGTTTGTGGATCTTGAAAACCAACAAGACTGCTATATGATGGGACTTCCAAAATCCCATTCTGCACCTCGCTGCCCAACTCATTTATGTGGAAGGGGGAAATATGATGGGATGTCAGGTTTCTTCCAATCTCAGTATGTTGAGGTGGGAGAAGTGTGTGAGAGTGCATATGTGATTGTGAATGGGAATAAGGCTGTGTATCTGTCAATTTCTGAGTTTATTTGTGTGAGAGAGATGGGAGAAGTTTGTGTGTGTGTGTGTGTGTGTGTGTGTGTATGCAGCCCCTGTCCTGTGGGAATTAGACCTTACAGAGTTATGCGGAAGTGAACCCAGGTGTTTGACCCTTTAATCAGATCCTCTTTCCCTTCTGTAAAAACTGTTCAAGGCACTCTCTTTTAAAGTTTAAATACATTTTGCATACATTTGTGTCTAAGATAAGTACTGTTACAGACTGACTATCTCTGAGCAAACAGTTCAGCTGCTCTCACACAAAAGACGATTAATAAGTGCCACTGCTGTACCACCTGACATAACTGCCTCACATGTATGACATGTCTGGTTTGGGGGACTGCATCCAACAAAGGCTGAGATCATGGCCTTATTTCTACTGTGAATGTTGATGCCATTTCTCAAAGAATGAGCTGCTCAATGGAGTGGCACTGTTTCCTCCTCTCCCCTCACAGGAGTGGCAACTCTCTTCTGTCACAGTGCTTTTGACCTTGGAAACCCTGTTGAGATGGGTTGCAGTATTGCCAAAGGCATTTGCTTTATTCGTTACACCAATGTCTTTTTAGGTGAGTATAAGGTTTTTCTGTCTAAGTAAAATTGGTCATTTGGCATTTTATTGATTTATTGCAATGCATTGTACACATGTACAAAATTGTTTTCTAATTTATTGTAGTTTCTCAGTTTTGTATATGTGTGTGTGTGTGTGTGTGTGTGTGTGTGATGCCCAAAAATCTCCCTGACACAGCACATGTGGAAGGCATTGAGGTGTGGCTCTTGGTGGGTGTCAATTGCCCACCACACATTAGTAAAACAGCATGCACAATGTGCAAGGCTAGTAGACTTTCAACTTGGTATTGGATGTAAATATCACGTTCTCCCACACCCTTCTAGAGAGGCGAGCCGTTGCTGTAGCTGGTTTGCCGATACACTTACCCATTGATGGAGAACTTAGTGGTTATGGTAAAACCCAGGAAGAAGAAAAAACTATCACCCCAAGAATTTTATTGATTTATTGCAATGCATTGTAGATATGTATAAAATTGCTTTTTAATTTATTGTAGTTTCTCAGTTGTGTGTGTGTGTGTGTGTGTGTGTGTGTGTGTGTACAAGCACAGGGGTGTCAACTTGAATAAAATGTTAAGTAGGCCCAGGTAAGCTCCACCCCACAAAATCAATCACAAGATGCGGTACACACAGGAGAAGCAGCAGTGACAAACATTGACATTGCAGTACTGCAACACAACTCACCCATTACTATGTACAACTCCTTGTCTATTCATTTCTGTTGTGACTATAACGTATAATACATATCTTACACACATACAATACACATTCATATAGTTTTAATTTGTAAACGACATGGAGACTGTGGATCCAGAGCAGATGCTTCTGTTCATACGCCCATGTGGGGGCAAGGGGCCACAGCATTCCCCAGGTGCAATCCAATGGGAGTATTACCCCATGATGTTGGTCAGGTACTCCCTCTTTCCATTTCTCTCAGAAATGTAAGTTATTCCAGCAGGGGCCAGTATACAATCTATACTGAGCCTACGACAGAGAGGTTCACAGCATTAGCACCCCAAAAGGGTCTTCTTTCTCCCTTAGTCACAGTATTGGATTCAAACACACATCCTCTGTACATCAAGCAAATTTTGTAAACGCTCAGCTAAAGCCATTAGAATTGTTAAACTTGGCAACAGTGTGCAGACTTTGTGACCTGTTTCCAAACATTTGTGTTAGATTAAGACTACTAATAACCATTGAAGGAACATTAGCTTCTGTAGACAGGTCATTTCGCAAACTTCAGCTAATTAAGAATTATTTATGGTCTTAATGTCTCAGAAACATCTTGTGGATTTGGCCAGGCTAGGTATTGCACCCACCATTGCCAGAACAATTAGTTTTCATGCTATGATTTAAAAGATTTCACAAAAAAGGCCAGAAAAGTTGTTTTTCTAAAGTAAATTGGATGTCTGCAGTATATCTGTCTATCTATCTATCTATCTATCTATCTATCTATCTATCTATCTATCATCTATCTACCTTCTATCTATCTATATCTATCATCTTACTAATACTACTGTTGTATGATTACCGTATGTAGTGGTTAAGAGCGGTAGCCCCCTAATCTGGGGAACCGGCTTCGTGTCTCCGCTCCTCCACATGCAGCTGCTGGGTGACCTTGGGCTAGTCACACTTCTTTGAAGTCTCTCAGCCCCACTCACCTCACAGAGTGCTTGTTGTGGGGGAGGAAGGGAAAGGAGAATGTTAGCCGCTTTGAGACTCCTTTGGGTAGTGATAAAGCGGGATATCAAATCCAAACTCTGCAATATAAAAAGAGGTTTCAGCGTGAATTCTTTCTCCTTATCTGTATTGTAGATGTTCAAATCAAATGGGCTTTCTTATCTCTGATCTCTGGGCCTGGAGACGATCAGTCAGGACATGTATCCACAGCAGTGACCAGAGGAGGAATGATCACTGGGATGACCACAGAAAGAAGGAACACCATGGTATACCTGCATCACCACAACCAGACACCTTGAACTGACCCAGCAGCAACAAAACATTTCTCTCCCTTATCGGTCTCTACATCCACAGCAAGCGCTGTAACTCTCCAGTGGCTTGACTTCACCCCTGAAGGCACACTCTTTCATTGTCTTCTGAGACAGACAGTTGCCAATTTATTTAAATTTATTTATCTTTATTAGAGTATATATATTATAGTATGAGCAGAAATCCATAAATGCAGAAGATTAGCAGAGCCTTCCACGCTATCCCTCTCCCATCTTTCACAACCTTTCTACCTTAAAGCCGACAGCTCGTGGCATAGAACCATAGTGCATAAAAACATAACGACTACTGGAGAAGGGAGACAGCCCAAAATAAATTGTATACCCCTGAAAATAATAATCTCAGATGCCCTGCCTCTCCACCTGGAGATGCACAAGGCCAAAAAATTGAGGTGTGTCTCCTGGTAGCTGTAAGTTGCTTATAGCAACGGGCTCAACATGTGAGCATAGCAGACCTTCAACTTGATATTGGTCATAAGTATCATATTTTCCCACATCCTGTTGGAGAGGTGAGCAATTGTTGTAGCTGCCTTGCCAACATGCTTGTCCAGTTCAGCGCTGATGGAGAGCTTGCTGGTTATAGTGAAACCCAGGTAGAAAAAATCTTTTATCACGGCAAGCATATGTGAGTGCCATGAAGATAACAAAACAAAAATATGATTCATCCTCACTGAATTAGCCTCCCAAATATGTTTTGCAGGATACATTCTTCGAATGATTGAATATTACAAAAATGAATGTGGAAGGTCACTTGGTGAAATTATATCAAAAGGAGAACAATACCAGTTGTTTCTTAGCCCTGCTTATGACATGGAATGGAAGATGCAGTTGGTAGAAGATCATGTCAATCCAAAAACACATTTCATTAATTTCAATACTGAACTTTGTGTTCCAATAAAATATTCTATACAATTTCTAATTTCATCATTGCCCACCCCTCACTGGACCAGTTCTCCCCAACTCTACTCCCAGGCCTCTCCGCTTTGGCCTATAAGTTCCCCCACATCAGCCTTATCTTCCACAAGTCACCTGCTGGCTTGTTCTGAATCTTCCTAAGTTTTTGATCTCTTCAATGCTATGAAGGCTTTCCTCAGTACCTGCCTTCTCCTGGCCCTGTTTCTCCCAGGTGAATAGGAATCTGAAATCCTGGATAGCTTTTTTCCCCCTATCTGGGAGGGGATGTGGAGTGGACTAAGCTAGGAAGACTGAGATAGGTTCATTGAAGAGAAAAGAAGCTGAAAAGATTGAATGAGACCAAAAGGATTTGACACACACAAACCACATTCATTTGCACGTGCACACACACACACACAGAGAGAGAGAGAGAGAGAGAGAGAGAGAGGCTGAGAGCCACATGGTGCCCCCTTGGAGGCTTCACAAAGGGCAAAGAACCTGGCTAGTCCCACCCCCTCAAGCAACGACACTGCCTGGTAAGTGCTTGATTTTATAGTGCTTCTTCTCCTGCTGTGGTTACCCTGTCTGGGCTTGATACACTGCTCATGAGACTGGGGCACCTGCCCATTACTTCCTGCACAAGTGAGCAATCTGTAGCCCATGGCAGTTGCTACAGGTTGCCTATGTCTCATACCTGCATATTCACACCATGTCCTGTGTCGGTAACTGTTCTTCCTTCAGAGGGCAAGCAGGTGTTTGGTCATGCTCTAGGCTGGTGGTAGCGCACTTACCAGGACTGATAATGTGGGCTGTGTGCAGAAGTGTGTGGTGGGATTTCTGAAATCGCACTGTGCACCTTAATGCTCATCTGATTGGTGCAGGGAAGATCCACTGATGTGGATCCTGAAAACCAATAAGATTGCTATATGACAGGACTTCCAAAGTTCCATTCTGCACCTCGCTGTCTATCCGATTGGTGGGAAGGAGGAAGTTATGATGGGATCTCGGGGTGCTTCCCATCTTGGTGTGTCCAAGAGGGTAGGAGTGTGTGCATATGTGATCGTGAATGGGAAGAAGGCTGTGCATCTGTCAGTTTCTGAGTATATTTGTTTATGTGAGATGCAGAAGTTTGTGTGCTTGTGTGTGTGCATGCAGCCCCTGTCCTGTGGGAATTAGACCTTACATAATTATGCGGAAGGGAGCCCAGGTCATTTGACCCTTTAATTACCGTAGTTCCCCTTTCCCTCCTATAAAAATGGCACCAAATGCTTTAAATAAGAAATAACTTTTACTTAGTGTGCTTGCACTTGCAGATTAAAAATTACAATGCAGGTATAGGTAAAGGTAAAGGTAAAGGGGCCCTGACCATTAGGTCCAGTCGTGACTGACTCTGGGGTTGCAGCGATCATCTCGCTTTATTGGCCAAGGGAGCCGGGGTACAGCTTCTGGGTCATGTGGCCAGCATGACTCAGCCGCTTCTGGCGAACCAGAGCAGCACACGGCAATGTCGTTTACCTTCCCGTTGGTACCTATTTATCTACTTGCTTTTGAACTGCTAGGTTGGCAGGAGCAGGGACCAAGCAACGGGAGCTCACCCCGTTGCGGGTATTCAAACCGCCGACCTTCTGATAGGCAAGTCCTAAGCTCTGTGGTTTAACCCACATCGCCATCCGTGTCCCACAATGCAGGTACATGTTACTTTTGTCAAATACATAATAAATTTATTTTTTGTAACATAAATACTCTTACAGACAGACTAACTGAGGCAGATAGCAGCACACCACTTCTGCTGCTCTCACACAGAAGACAGTTCATAAGGGCCACTGCTGTATCACCTGACTTAACTGTTACAAATGTATGACATCACAGAGTTCTACAGACTTTGTGAGCATTATTGAGAGTTTTGGATGCTTTCATCTCACGTGGCCCACTATTGCAAGTAGATCCTGAGAAGATGAAAGCTGCTCATATTTAGTTTGCTGGATTACATCCAACAAAGGTTGAGATTATGGTCATATTTCTAACAGTGAATGTAGATGCTATTTCTCATGGAATGAGCAACTTTGCAGTGCCACTGAATGTTTCCTCATCTCTCCTCACAGAAGTGACAAATCTATTTTGTGGCTATTATGACTCTTACATGTTGCAATGCAAGATTAACAATGGCTTTTGCTTTGAGCATTATGTGCTCTATTTAAGTGAGTATAAGTATTTTCTGTCTAATTAAAATTGGGTGTTTGGGTCCACCATTTGGTCCTTGGTGTATCTACGGATGCATGTATCATGCATTCAGCTGAGTCATTGAGTGCTGGACAACCAAAGAACTAGAGATGATAAAAGGTGAGTGTATATGTGGACTAGGCCTGTGATTTTCCCCCAAAGACACTGTTCAGTCTGTTGACATATAATGGGCTTGCCCCTGCATGCCTTTCCACAGAGCTCAGGAGAGGGGGTTGCAGGTGGTACATCATACGCCTGTGGTCAAAAAAGGACCATAGAGCCAAAGGAGAGGAGTCAGATATTTATTATCATATATTGTGTGAAGACTAGCATTTCCATTTTGTGTAAGCTTACACAGGAATTCCCCGCACTCACGCTCTCTCTTCAGATCAGACCAAAATATCTGGAGCTGAAGCTCTGGGGTGCCTGGAGATAGGAGGATGTGCGGGAAAGCAGCAGGAACTTCTGCAATACCATGTGCATCACCTGCTAGGAAGGGAGGCTGAGCAGCCTAAACAAAGCCCCACTGCACCTCCACTGTCTTTGGGGCTTCATCCACCCTCATTGAAATCTACTTCGGGTTCCTGGGAGGGTCTCTTCCCAAGCCACGAGGACTCTCCTGCTTTCTCCCATCATTTCCTGGTATTCTATTTGTTCATGTACTTATTTTCTGGCACTGTGAGCATATGCAGTCGTGCTTGTCGGTCGTGCAAAGTGGGGGAATGCTTGTATAAAATGCCACAACAATTCTTCCCCTGCCCCCTTCTCACTTGGCCAACGTGCCCCCGCCTACTACCAGCCTACTACCACTGCTGCTGCAACTTCTATTAGTATATAATATTTTTTGTCTTATTTTCCTCTCTCCCTTTCTGAAGATATATAAAAAATCCATTAATTTATAAATCAACCTTCCAAATTGTATCACAGATCAGGAACAAGAAAAGACAAGAAGGGGAAAATGAAAAAAAAGGGGTCAACAAACTCTCTTTCAATTTGGATTAAGTGAAGCTTCATTTTGTTTTATTTTTTACTTACCTGTAGGATTGCAGCAAGATAATCCTGTGGAAAACCTCATCTCCAAACAAGGAGCTGTTGATCTGGATAATCATGTACAGTATTTGGATGAAGGGGCAGATGCAGAACATGAGAATGGAAAACAGAAAGAAACAGACATATGGGGAAGCGAATTTGGAAGGAGAGAGGAGTAATCATGATCAAACTTGACAGTGGTTAACTTTGGCACCTCAAATTTCAGTGGCACCCTGTGCACCAAAATCTGCCCCCCACCCATCTCTCACCTTTTGTTGCATGTCATAGTTGCAGCATCTGCTGCAGCGACTCCAGAATCTCCACACCTGATGCAACCGCACCAGTCGTGCTCCCCTAGATCCATCTTTGCACTGAATGTAGGAAAAGCAAGTATCCATTTCAAAAGCAAATAGAAAAGTATATTATGAACAGTCTCATCTCTCTGCCTAAAACATTCCCAGAACTAGAAAGATGCCTGCTGTCTTGGACAGGAGTTGACATCATTATAGAAGTGTCAAATTTCAAGTGCTTCTGCTTCAAACATTTTAACTTTTTTCCAACTCTTTGTTTAATCATGGCTATCAAATTTTCCCTTTTTAAAAGGGAGATTCCCTTATTCCGAATAGGATTCCTCGCAAGAAAAGGGAAAAGTTGACAGCTATGGGTTTAATAACAATGACAGTCTAATAGTTTGTAACATTTTATTATCACCAGGCTTGTCAATTAAAGAGTTTTCACAGTTTGCTATTTCTTTTAATTGTCGGAGCCAGCCGTTACAAATGGCGAAGTTTAGCATAAAATCAAGACACAGAGAGCCAGCCATATTTTCATGATGGTATGAGCAGCTCCTTTCGAACTTCCCTCTCCTCCTGCAGCTTCTTTTATTATCCTTTGTCTCTCTCCAGCCGCATGGCCGTTTGCCAATGTCTCACGTTACCTCATCCGGTCAAGGCTTTTATTGCCCCCAACACCATATAGGGTCATCACTGCCCAGAGGAAACACAACTGCATTTAAGGTTAATACATTCCAATACATTGTAAAGCTCAGAGTGCTGGTCAGCCGAGGTCAGGGGGCACCCTGCAATATTACAAGCCTTTGCCGTGGCTTTATGACTCCCACATTTAATATGTCTTTTGATCTTTCACCTTTTTTGATAAGCATTTTGCTGTTTGAAGGAGCCTTTAATAATCACCTTCCCAGTATGCCATACTGTATTTAAATCTGTACATTTCCCTATATTTAACTCAAAGAAGTCAGTCAAACATTAAATCTCTTTTGCATTATTCCAGACTTTCTAACAAGCTGTCATTCAGCTTCCATCTCAAAGTGGTATTTGGTTGGCCTTTGGTAATAGTAAATATCAGATTATGATCTGATAAAGTTCTCAGTTGTATTTCAGTGTTCTTAAAACCAGATACTATGGACTTTGATACCCATAACCTGTCTAGTCTTCCAAGGCTCTTTCCTGGAGGAAGCTGGACCAAGAGGAGGCAGGTGATCAGGAGTGTATTAATCATTCTAGAAAGCTGAAGAGTCGGGAAGAGCAGTGGGCCATACAGGGAAGCATGAAGAGGCTTAGTTGGAGGAAAGTATAGGCCACGACAAGGAGCACTTTGCCAGCACCCAGGAACAACAGGTTCAGAACAGTGTCACAAATTGCTAGAATTCTAATAGCACCATACCAGAATTTAAAGCAGTGTTGAAAGCAAATTAAATCTCTTTCCCCTCCCAAGAACTCCAAGGACACGTCCCTCCTAATTGTGCCAGCCTCAGTTTCACCACCCTGTGGAAATGAGGCCTCACAGGTTACGCTAGATTTCATAGCTCAGCAGCAAAATTGGATTAGGTTTCTGGAACCTCAAGCATTTTGCCAGATTTCACTGTCAGTGGTATGAAACTGATTGTGAGGGGGAGACAAGTGTTCCAACAAGGGATTTCAACCTCATGCCTTAAAGTCCTAGGAATCCTAGGAAAACATGTGGTCCATAGTCATCATGCCTTTGTCTCTGACACAGGTAAAAGGTAAAAGTGAAAGGACCCCTGGATAGTTAAGGCCAGTCAACAGTGACTGTGGGGTGCAGCGCTCATCTTGCTTCAGGCCGCAGGAGCCAGCATTTGTCTTCAGACAGCTTTCTGGGTCATGTGGTCAGCATGACTAAATGCTGCTGGCACAATGGGACACCGTGACAGACACCAAAGTTGCTTTATCTCTCTGTCTTCTTCCAGCTTGCTGCCTTAACATCTGTCTCACATCACTGCAAAACTCTGCTCTCACCTCTGGCTTTGTTTCTTGAAGGAGGGCCCCCCACCCATTTTCTGTTTTGCACAAAGCCCCTTCAGCTCACCAGGAACATGGTTTGACTATTCTGCCAATTGACTAACTTTTAACACTTACTGGATCCAGGGAATAGATGGGTCTGGCATACATCTTAGGACCCCTTTTGTCCGCCCCCCCTCCACCCCCCCCCCAAAACCCCCACCTCGTAACAATTTATTTATTTTATTCTGCCTTTTCCCTGATGGGCCTCAAGATGGTTTACAGGTAAAAATAATAACCATTTAAAAAAAAGGAAAAGAAGGAGAAGTATGAACAAGAATTAAATATCAATAGAATTAAACAATATACAAAACAGTCACAAGTGGGGATAATGGTTTGCTGTCAATTCCTGCTTTGAAACTTTGCACAGGCATCTGGTTGGCCATTGTGAGAACAGGGCCGGGTTCAGCCGGTTCATTTCAACTCTGCCAGTTGAGGTTCATGGGAAATCTAACATCAGCCAATATTTCCTCAAAATGCTGCTCAGCCAATTTACCTTCTGAATAAGAGTGGATTCATAGTGCACTTGTTGAAGAAATGTGGTTTCATAGTTTGGTCTAAAATTACCAAACTGCGCTTTTGGCTGAAAAAGGGAAGCCAAAAGCCAGAGAAGATTGGAGGACTATGACCACCAAGGGTGGAGGACATTTGGCTTGGGGGCCAAAAGCAACCCCTGCAAGCCTCTCCAAAGGGCTCAGGGGAAGGGATAGCAGGTGGTATATTATAGCTGTGCTTGGGGTCAAACAGGAAACAGGGAGCCAAAGGAGTGGAGCCAGAAATTTACCTGGACATCGGAAAATGTTTGCATATATTGTGTGAAGATTAGAATTTACATTTTTGTGTAATACTACATAAAATACCATGGCACTTCTTCTTCCATCTGCTTCCTCTTCTGCCAGTATGCTCCTGCCTACTTCTCCCAGCCAATGCAGAGAGGCAGCAATGAAGTCCCACTGAAAGATACTATTCCTTTCTGTGAGGAATAGAACTCAAGCCTATGATAATGGGCAAATATGGCTGGAAAATACAGTAGCGCACAAGCAAAAATACAGAAACAGTGCTTCAGCTTGCGGTTGTCAAACACTCAACTGATGTGCAAATGATGCCGCTGTATGCATGCCTGAAGCACTAGCCTTTCTTGGAACAATTCAAGCTGTGTACCACCAGTTCAGTTCCAGACCTAAGTGGAGGGAATTTACTACAAAACCATATTGGTTGTTCTCTTCATGTTATGTCTGGAACAAAATGGTTGACTGTGTAAAGCCTTCTGCATCTCACTTGATTGTCACTTGACTGGTCACTTACCATCGGCAGCGGTGAGGACTGAAGGGCCTGCCCCTTGCAAGGCCTTCACCATCTTGCCTACAGGGCAGGGCCCAGGCCCTTGCACTCCAGCTATAAAGACTCCTGCTCCAGTGAGGACTGGACCTTTGACTGTGGTGAGGACTGCAGGGTCTGTTCCCTTTGTAAGGCCATTACCAGCTGACCTATGAGGTGGAACCAGACTCATGTGAATGAACTCCTTGGGCAGGGCTTGGCGGCGGCCGGGGGGGGGGGCGGTTCTGCTATTGTTTCCCTGCTCCAAGTTTCTAATTTGTTTAAAACATTCTCAAGCAGCTTTTAATTTGTGGGGTTTAAAAAAATGCAGCTGTTTTGTTTTGCAGGATACATTCTGTAAAATGATTGTATATTACAATACTGAACGTGCCAAGTTGGCTGACTCTAGAGACTTTCCTCAGACATTGTGGGGAAATTGGGGTGGAGAAGGACTGGAAGGTCATTTGGTGAAATTACATCCAAAGGAGAACGATCGTTTCTTAATTGAAGAGTTGTTAATTAATTGAAAAGGCAGTTGGCAGAAGATCATGCCATTCTAAAAAAAACATTTTATTAATTTCAGCACTGAAATTTGTGTTCCAAGAAAACATTCTATGCAATTTCTAATTTCATCATTTCCCGCCCCTCACTGGACCAGTTCTTCCCACCTCTACTCCCAGACCTCTCCGCTTTGGCCTATAAGTTTCCCCACATCAGCCTCTTCCTCCACAAGTCACCTGCTGGCTTGTTCTGAGTCTTCCTAAGCTTTTGATCTCTTCAGCGCTATGAAGGCTTTCCTCAGTATCTGCCTTCTCCTGGCCCTGTTTCTCCCAGGTGAGTAGGAAGCTGAAATCCTGGATTCTTCTTTTCACTACCTGGGAGGGGATGTGGAGTGGACTAAGCTAGAGAGACTGAGATAGGATCATTGAAGGAAAAAAAATATGCTGAAAAAATTGGATAAGACCAAGAGCATCTGGGAATCAAAATAGAAAGTAATCTCTGGTAGCAGGGGCGAAACTAGGCTTTATTTCACCCAGGTCAAACACCCAGTTTTGCACACACACCCTACATGCATTTGCAGACACATACACACAGAGGCTGAGAGCCGCAATGCAGCCTCTGGAGGCTTCACCAAGGGCAAAGAACTTGGCTAGTCTTCCCTCCCAGCAACGGCACTGCCTGTTAGTGCTTGATTTTACAGTGCTTCCTGTGCTGATGTGGTTGCTCTGTTTGGGCTTGTTACACTTCTCATGAGACTGGGCCACCTGCCCATTACTTCCAGCACAAGTGAGCAATTCATGGCTTATGGACCTCATGTCAGCTGCAATCGGTTGTCTGTGTCACATACCTGCGGATTGACCCTTTGTCCTGTTTCGGTAACTGTGCTTCCCTCAGTTGGCCAAGCAGGTGTTTGGCGGGGCAGATGAGCACACATTCGATTGTGATGAAGGTGGATGGGGAAGGCTTTCCTGGTGCATCTTTCTCCCCATTGCCTCATGCTCTGCTCATGCTCTGGGCTGGTGGTAGCACACTTGCCAGGACCAATAATGTGGACTGTGTGCAGAAGTGTGTGATGGGACTTCTGAAATTGCACTGTACAACTTAATGCCCATCTGACTGGTGCAGGGAAGAAGGGGGAACCACACAGTCAATTATCTGGGCAACAGGGAGAGGTAAGGTGGAATGTGCTGCAATGGGGGAAGGAGATGCCATTGCTTTGGTGTGGGGATGCATGAATCACCATAAAGCTATTTCTCTGTCTATCACTGTGAGTGGGTATGTTTGGGTGTGAGAAATGGGGGGAAGGTGTGTATATGTGTACATGCATCTTCCAACCCACCACTGCTTGTGGATCCTGAAAACCAATAAGATTGCTGTATGATAAAGGGCCATTTGACCCTTTAAGGAGTTCCCTTTTCCCTCTTCTAAAAGCTGAACAAGACACTTTAAATAAGAAATAACTTTTACTTTGTGTCCTTGCACTTTCAGATTAATATGTACAATGCAGGAAAATGTTGATAATACATTTTATATAGATTTTTTTTTAAATGATATTTATTGAGAATTTTAAAGTTACAAAGAAAAAAGAAAGAAAAAACAAGAAAAAGAGAAAAAGAAAGAAATAAGTAGATAGAAGTAGATAAAAATTACAATTCAATAAAAACCAAAGTCAAAAAAAACAACAACACACACAATACATCAAAAGCAAAAAGCAAAAATAAACAAAAATTTTTAAAAACAAGTCCAATATTCCCTAATCCTTAACTTTCATTAACTTATTTCATCGACCTCCTCACACCTCCCTTTTTTGTATTCTAGTTGTTAATTATCTCAGCAAATCCTTTCCATCTTTCACAATATTCTGTCATTAAATTACCTTAATCTATTTTAACCTTATCTTACCCTAAAAAACCCCTAAAATTTAAAACTTAAATCTTATATATACCAAATTCTTTTAACCATAACATATTCTTACATAATTCTTTTTGACATTTCTGCTAAAGCCAAATAATTTCATTCCAACATTTTTCTAATACTCATTAATTTTACGATACTTTTCTAAAAGAATTTTTAAAACTTTCTTCCAATCTTCATCCATCGTCTCTTCTTCCTGGTCTTGGGTTTTGTCAGTCCTTTCTATCCCATCCATCTAGTCCATCAACCTGGTGACCTTATGTCCGAGGCTCTTAAGTCTCTTCCATGTCCCTTCCGCAGATCTTCTTCTTGTTTATACCTGCCCTTTACTTTGTCTTTTGTTGATCTTTTTCTTATTTTCTTTCCTTTCTCATTGGGGGGTAGGTCTTGGGAGGACTCCAATCCAAAAATATCTCCATCTCTCCTCAGCAGATCAGCCCATTCCCCACAGTCCCATTCCCCACAATCAACACTGTAATCCAGAAAGTATTTAAAAGCATATTTCAAAGTCCTTCCAAAATTAAGAGCCCTCACAACTCCAGACCCCCCTGGACCACTCCAGATTCAAACTTCAAAAACAGCGGCTTATACTCCTGCAATGCCTCGGATCTCTCCATTTGTGATATTTGAGGTTCAACAGCAGCCTCCTCCATTTTCTTCTGCACTTGCGCTTGCCCTGTCAAAACAGGTTCCTGGGCTGGTTCCTGAATGGTTTCTATATGAGTATTCGCCGTTTGTCCAAAGTTTTTAACTGCAACAGTCATCAAATCCATCTTCTCATGCATCTGCTCCAGCAAAGCACTTGTCTTGCAAAAGGCAAGCACCAAGACTTCTTGTAAACACATTTTTATTCAAGGTTAGAGTCTGGTCTCACGATCCTAATCTTACATCTGTGAGGTCCCCAGATCGTCTCCGGCAACAAATTAACAAGCTCCCTCTAGAGGAGACAATTTCTATTTGTGTCCATCTTTTGAAAGCAGGACCAACAAAGGAAAATTACTTTCACTTTTCAAATACTTTCTTTCTTTTGATTGCAAGAAGCAACATTGGAGTCAATTTGTTTCTCTTTTTTTTTTTACTATCTGTCAAAAGACGTTCCATTCACAGTCGATGAACTTCCCCATAAATTTCTGTCTCTGACACCCCGTTCCCAGGTTTGAGACGGTGGAAATTTATCTTTCTTTACTCTCTCTCCTGCAGGCTTAAACAGTCAAAAATCCCCCCCTTTTCTCCTGCTTCCAAGAGGGGTTTTGGTGGTAATAAATGAAGGAAATTTAGAACTTTATATACGACTTTCCAGACTTTAGCTTACAAAGTTTTTGCTTCAATCTATTTACAAAAAACGGGAGGCGGACTTCCTGTTTAGAGCCTTCCCGTCAGTACCAAATTAAAATGTTTCTTAATCCAATTTTCCGTTCTACTCACAGGTACTTGTTTAGAGTCCAATTGTCCACAGGAAAAAGTCAGCGCTCTCCGGCAACGGCTGTGCGGCTTCACTCCGTAAAAGTAATGGTTGATTCAAAACACCGCGCCACTCACCCCACGTCGCTTCGAATCCCCGAAAAAGGGTTTCCCTGCGAGTAGGGGAGGCGCTCCTGGTGTCAGCCGAATCCCACATTCCCAGGCTTCCTCCGCCTGGGATTTTTAAAGGGTCTCCGCCTTCGCCGCGGCGGCAAGACCCGATTTTCACGGAGCGGGTTCCTCTCGGTCAGAGGAACTCCGCCATTGCCGATGGCGCTGACCCGGAAGTCCCATTTTATATAGATTTGTTTTTAACATAGATACTGTTAGAGACAAACTGAGACTGATAGCAGTACCTCACTTCTGCTGCTCTCATACAGAAGATGGTTAATAAGGGCCACTGCTGTACCACCTGACATAACTGTCTCAAACATATGACATTACAGAGTTGTACAGACCTTGTGAGCATTATTTAGCGTTTTGGATGCTTTCATCCCACATGACCCACTATTGCAAGTGGATCCTGAGTTGATGAAAGCTGCTTCTATTTCGTTTGTTGGATTATATCCAACAAAGGTTGAGCAACTTTGTGGTGCCACTGAATGTTTCTTCATCTCTCCTCACAGAAGTGGCAAATCTAATATGTTCCGACGGTTACTTGAGTTTTTGCAAAATTGACAACGGCCTTTGCCTTCAACATTATGTCAAGGGCTTTTTAAGTGAGTATGTATTTTCTGTTTAATTAAAATTGGGTGTGTAGGTCCACCATTTCGTCCCTGGAGTATCTAGGGATGACCTTTCATGCATTCAGGTGAGTAATTAAGTGCTGGACAACCAAAGAACTGGAGATGAATTGAGGTGAGTGTACACATGAACCAGGCCTGTGATTCTCCCCAGAAGACCCTGTAGAGTGTGTTGACATATAATGGGCTTGCTTTCTTCAAGGGGTTTGGGTACATGTGGAAGATTTCTCTTTCTGGGGCCCAAGAAATTCAGCCAGGAAACACGCTGTGAAGAAAGAGCCTGAGCTGCACATCAATTCTGAGTCAAGCCTCTTAGCAAAGAGGATTGTTAAAGGACCTATTTGAGGGACCAAAGAAACTTGATCAGAAATAGCCAAGGCTTCTCCGTTCCCATAAGAGAGGAGTGGGCCTTTAAAAAACTGAGCTGCTTCTTGCAGTTTCTTCCCCTTCCAACAGGAGGGGATCCAGCTGCCTTTCCAGCACTGTGGTTCCAAGATGGAGTCTTCTAAAAATTGATGATCCTTTGTGAGTAAACCTGAACAACAAGTGATGTGCTTTGGTTAAGATTGGTTTAGTTTAGAGCCACAGTGCTTGGGTTTATTTTGTATTCTGCTTTGACTTTTTGCATGTTTCCCTGTTACCTTAATTCCTAGTAGGTTTCATAAATTGACTGCTGAAGTGTACATGTCTTCCAATTTCGGGGTTTTAGAATCCACACATGCGTAGAACCTACTGTGAGTTTAGGATAAGAGATCCTGGGAGACTCAGAAAGAGTATGGGGTGCCACTATACTTTGAGACAAACCACAAAGATGCACGGCAATCAGAGGAGTGTTGTGGTACTGGCTCCAAACCTTTGAAAAAGTGATTGCTTTAGTGTACTCCAAGTTTTCTCCCAAATGGGGCTGCAGGAGTAAGTGAGAGCATGGTGACACCTTGTTATTTGCTTGCATACAACATAGTGCTGTAACACACCTCTGTATTTTCTTTGTGCATGTGTGCAGTTTTGTTGTTTTGAGTCACATTCCATAACATTTAGAGAGTGCCAAGAAAGTGACATAACTGGGAGTGCGATAGCACTAATCTATGCAAATAGTAATGCATTTAATTCAAGCCTCACATATGTTCTTCACTGAAATGAAAGAGGGTTTATACATTACATTGTTTCAGTGATATAATACCTGCTCACATGAAGACAGGAAGCGGAAGCTACCTCCTGCAGACTCAAACCCTTGGTCCATCTTTATATTGTCTAAACCAATTGGCATGAGGTGTCTACTGTCTATTGGTAATTTTCCCCATCCATACCTGGAGATGTTAGTCATTGAATCTTGGACCTTATGCATCCAATGCAAATGATCTACTAGTGAGTTAGGGCCCTTCCTCTGTAATTTAATAGAGTGTGTAATTTGTCAGCTATGGACTTTAGACAGGGCAGCCAATTACTGTTAACATGCTTTCTGTGAATATTCTCTGGCCTTTGCCTCACACCTCCCTCAACTGATTTTCCCAACTGCCATGTATGATAATTCCTCACTGACAGTTAACTACCAACTGATAAGAAACATGAGCCAATTGGGGTCTGCTGTTTCCTTGACCAACCAGAATTAAATGACCTGAACCCAGCCCTTTGAAGCAAGATTCAAAGTCATCTTCTCACTATCTGCAAAGCAGCTGCTGCCAAGTAGGCAGTGATGTAGCATGGGAGGGGCATTGCCCTGGGCACATTTTTTCAAGTGGGTGCCACCATGTACTGCCACTATAGCTCCCTCATTGAGGGAACCCACAACTGGGCTGGCCTTTGGGGCTGGAGTGTGGGTGGCAGCAGCAACCGGTCCATTCCTGGATCAGGCGTGACTTGGAAGCAGAAGCGTTGGAGAGGTGGTGATACTGCAGCCGAGGGAGTAACGAAGTCCATCTGCCACTATGCCTTGCATGGCTGTTGGAGCTCATTTCTCCCTCAGTACATGGGGCTACTGGGGTGCTGTGTTGGGCTCCTTCATCTTCTGCGTCCCTCTCCCAGTCTGCCCTGCCCTCCGGTACTCACAGATACACACGCTGGGCACCATGGGCTCATGCAATGCCGCGGCAAGTAGGTCTGCAATATTATAATATCATACTTCCTCAAACCCTGACAGGCACACTCTGACATTTCACACAAATCTCTCTCTTTACAAAAAAGCCAACATGAACAGACATATATACATTTCCTCTTAGAAGGTTACATGCATCAACCACTGGATCCTCCTGGAAAAGCTATCTGAGCTGTGGGTGGGTGGTAGTGCTTTGTAATCATTCTGGTTGTCTTCAGTGGGTGATTTTCAACTCTATAGAGACTTGTACCTGAGTGAGAGGCCACGATGATAAACAGGAATGTAAAGTTGCTGGAGCATCATGAGTTAAGTGAATTAACCAACCTGATATAGTTTGCAAATTGAGGCAAAGAGGCAGTAGGGATGTTGAGTTTGGGAGCTCTGCGATCCCCAATTCCCACCCCCAATACATTTGCTTGTTGCTGCAGTTCTCAACTGATGTGCTAAATGCTGTGTGATTTTTAATTGTACTTTTCTTATTGCCTTTAATTCTTTCATTGTATTTTATTTTCTCCTACAAACTTGGACTGTGAAGTGAACATTCACCACATCAATACTTGCCTTCTCTTTTTCCAGGGTTGCCAGTTTTTCTTACCATCTTATTAATTTATTAAATTTCTATACCACCCTTCATCCGAGGATCACAGGGTGGTTTACAGTATAAAAACACAAAAATGCATAGCATAGTAATATATTCTTCTTCTGCCTCTTAAAAATATAGTATATGGCATGTTCTTGAGTGGGCCTCTGAAACTACTAACTGATTATTAGGTAGAGATGAATGGTGGATTAGCCTGTTTCGAGCCCTTAGCAAAAACAAGTCTGCCTTGACCCATTTATGTGCAATTTTTAAAGGAAATATCCTAGAATATTTACATGCTTTTGGAGAAGAAAATATGTTGTACTCATTGGTTGATTACTAATGAAATGACTTGAATCACTAGCTTGCAAATCCAGTGCTTGACATATTTTATTTTCTTCAGTCACCCATTTGACAATTTTTTTTAAAAAAAAATCATCAAGATTTCAGTAAGGAGAGATGTGATTTGAATTTTTGCAGATTTAGTCTTTCCAATTCTCACTTACAGATGGGTCTCCAGTAGAATCCAATTTTAAAATCAGATGTGCTACAAATTGTCCCTCAACGAATTACAGCTTCTCTACATTAGAAGATTACTTAGAGAATAGGATCGACTGCTGCCAAACTCCCTTCTGCAACAAAAGACAGATTGACTGTAAGTAGCTGCATTCTTTTAGATTTATATATCTCTATGTATCCCTGAGCATGAATAGCATTGAGGTTTCCCATTTCCCCATTGGTTGCTGATAGACAAATGATACTGTTCCAGTGCAATAGCCATATTCCTAGTTTACATGGGAGATGATTAGAATCAGCATCACCATCTGTGTCTCAAAGGGGAAGCAAGTGTCCTGTCTGAAGCACTTATTGACAAAGAGCTTCAAATGACCCCTGGGTGATTCTTCATTTATTGGGCGATTGGGGAGCGATAGAGAGATGAATAACCACTAAAACATCTGACAGTGGGTGCCATTTGCAGACCAGCGCGCAGCACTCCCGATCTCCCTAGAGACAAACCAGTTGGCCTGAGCTGGCCTGCCTTCCAAGATTCGCGGACCATTGGCGTTCCTGCCAAACCCCTATTTAAACCAGCCAATCTGTGGTGTCACTTAGGGCCGGGCCAAGTGAGCGGACCGCGAGTGAGAAAATTTCATTCCGGTCTGCTCTGGGGTTTTATAAGTGGGGCGGAGCCAGCGTGGGACACACAGTTGGTTCTGGAGCTTCACCCACCCAATCCTCTCTTAGATCTCTTCCTTTTGTGGCAGTTTAACCATTTTCCTTCCAGGTTTGTGGGTGTTGCTACCGTCTTATGATGGTTGCTGTTGAAGAGCCAGGAAGGAATTGTCCCTGCTCCGCAGGTTTCACCTTCCCCGTAGGAATTGTCACAACATTGGCAGTTTTAGGCCTTGGACAGAAACCTTTAGTCGTCATTCTAGGGGTGGGGGGACTGAAGTGGTGACTCACCCTTCCTTGCGATGGCGTTTTCAGGGATCAGGACTTGTGTGAAGGGGATCACTGGCCATACACTGGTAGGTTGTCGGTGAACTTCCCAAAATTGTGTGGAGAAGTGGGGGCTGGCTATGTAAAGATGCATTTTACAATGCCCCCTCTGATCCAATTAACTCTGCTGTGCCTCAGTTCCCTGGCTGGGGGGCTGAGAGGGATACATGGCCAATGCCTAAGCCAAAGTTTCCTACATGTGAAACTGTGGATAAAGTTGTGGCCATTTTAATCACAATAAATGTTGACATGTATGATTCATTGCTCTGGGCCTGTCTCCTAGGGGAGAGGGGGGTCTCCGCCTGGACACACAATACATTTCTTCCTTGCTCCCTACTAGCCCAACTAGAGTCTGGAAAGGGGGACTGTGACCTGGGAAGTAGTGAAATTGTTGTCAGGAATATATGTGTAACTCATGGGTGGCAATTTGTATTATTATTTTATACGGTTCAGTAAGTGAACCATTTCTTTCTTTCTTTGGTTTTTGAAGTACATTTTTGTTGTGTGGAAGGAGTGACAGGCGATAGGGGATGGTGACTTGAGTAAGAGATGCTGGAGTGACTGGGCAGATTGTGTGCATTTGTGAAACAGAATGGGATCTGTGATACTGACTGAGTAGCAGGTATTTTATTATTTGTGTAAATGTAGGGCATAAATTCAGTGTAATGTGTAGTGAGTTGGGAGATGTCTTGGCAAAAGGGTCTCTGAAGAGAGGGAAAAGATCCCTGAATCTAAATATATCTTATTTTTATTTCTTTTGAGATTTGATTGCTTTATTGCATTGCATTGTAGTTATGTGTAAAATTGCTTTTTATTTTATTGTAGTTTCACAGTTTCATACACACACACACACACACACACACACAAACACACATTTTTAATTGGCAAACCACTTTGAGACTGTATTGTGGTATATAATGTAGGGCTGCCAAACGTCTGGGTTTTCCCGGCCATATCCATGTGTTTGTGGGGGGGCGGGGGCGAGAGATGTCCCAATGTCCTCTCAAGAAATGTTGGAACATATGCCTACTAGGGCTGAGCCTGGCTCACAAATGGGTGGCCTACCACCTGAAGCCTGTCTGGCTTCTCTCTCCCCATTCCAAAACACACCATCCAGAGCAGGTGAAGTCCTGCAATCTGACTGCTGGCATCTCAGTCTAGGTATTCAAGGTAATAACCAGATCTGCATTGTCTGCATGATTAATGCAACCCTCTGGCAGGATTATAGAACTGAGGCCTAGGATTTTTTATGGAGATATATGGGCTGGATCCATGAGTTTATTGTATGGATTGCTTTTGGCAGGGCCAGGATATGATTTCAATGGGCTAAGGTGTCCGTTCTATGATGCTTCTGACCCAGAAGATTGTCCAAAGTTGAGAAATCTCAGATGTCGTGGTGATGAGACTCGATGCTTTGAGTTTGTCCTTGTTCACAGTAAGTATCACTGCCAATAAATGTGAGGGAGATTAGAAACACAGTTTGCCAGGGTGGGTTGGTTGCTCTCTTATTCTGTTTGCAGCTTCATGCCAGAAAAAATATTTCATGTTTTGTGGGAAAGGGCAGGTTTCTCTCCCCTGAACATATTACAGTATTATGCAGTATATAGTTGAGCCTATGAAGTGATGAACCAGAATGCAATATTGAGCCTCTCTCTCTCTCCATCCCAGAATGTGGATTAAGCCTCTCTTGTATAATAACAAAAAAAATACACATGTGACCATGCCTCTTTCTCTTTACCAGATGACAGTTCGGTTCCTGATAAGGTTTATAACGGCTGTGCCACCCCAACGTTTTGTGAGTTGGCTAGGACATCACCGTATTATGACTACCTTTCAGGCACTATAACAGAAGCACGATGCGGTGATACTCTGCCTCACTGAAAGCGGCTCAACAATGAAGGGTAGTTAGGAGAGAAGAATGTCTCCATCATTTTGGATCCCACCACTTGCAGCATTGGTAGAGGTGGAGATTGCCTCTCTGATGGTGGCTTTGCAGAGTTTCTGGAATTCACAGGACTCCTGTGTCTTTTATCTGGCATTTGGTGGAGGCTAAATGGGATGCAGGGCATAGAGAAATGTGGGGCTTGGGAGCTATGTCTCATGATATGGTTTATGGGTTACTTTTTCCTTCCTTCATAATCAAAATAAACTGGTGTGGCAAATAAAATTGTGTTGTGTTTCTGCATTTATCAAATTAACAATATTTGGCAGTGGTGGCAGTGAAGGACAGAGTCTTTAGAAGGAACAAATGGATAATTGTTAGTTAATAAAATTACTAATAACTAATTGGATTAAGTTTATGGAACCCAGGCCAATTTGCCAGATTTCCCTGAGAATCAGCAGCATGAAATTCAATGAAAGGAGAGAAGGTTGTCTGTCCACAGTTTCCTCTGCGATACAATAATAAAATGAATAATGACTTAACTTGTAGATTTCCTCACTTCCTCCATTAAATGCATTTGTATCTGGGGGCAGGGAGAGTGCCATTGTGATAGCGTCCCTCCTCCTCCTCCTCCATCATCATCTTCTTATTTAGATGTGTTAGATGCTTGGTACCCGATAGTCTCCAAGTTGTTGCTGTTGCTAAAATTTGTATACCACCCTATACCCGGAGGTTCAGGGCGGTTCACAGAATAAAATCAGAATATAAAACCACAAAATACGCAATCAAAACAAAAACAACCCACTAACTCCCCCAACACATTTTAAAAGGGCATAGGATGCCAATCAAACAAAGGCTTGGTTAAAGAGGAACATTTTTACCTGGTGCCTAAAGGCATATAATGAAGACCGCAAGCAAACCTCCCTTGCAAGCATTCCACAAGTGGAGAATTACTGCAGAAAAGGCCCTTCTTTGTATTGCCAGGCTCTAGACCTCTTGAGGATGAGACACATGAAGAAGGGCCTTAGAAGATGATATCAGGATCTGGGTGGGTTCATATGGAAAGAGGCGATCCTTGCGGTATTGCGGTCCTGAGCTGTTTAAGGCTTTAGAGGTCAAAACCATCACTTTGAATTGAGACCAGAAACTAATTGGTAGCCAGTGTAGTCAGGCCAGGATCAGTGTTGTGGTAATGATGCACCCCTACACTACCTTGTTCGTTATCCAGGTAAGGAACCACCACCTTTTGAATAAACCACAAAACCAAGGAAACAATTCTCTCTTTTTTAAAAATAATATGTATTACTTTTCCAAAAATTTAAACACTAAAAAGACAATACAATACAATACAATACATTAAACTAACAAAACAAAACAAAAACAATGAAATAAATCAAACAATTTCATTATCCCATCTTTCATTCACTTATTTCCACAACCTCCTCACACCTCCCTTTTTGTATTCCACTTCTATTAATTATTTCAGCAATTCCTTTCCATCTTCCTCTGTTTTCTATCCTAAAATTATCTTAACTCATTCTAACCTTATTTTTCCCTTTGATACTCTATTAATCTATTTATACTTAATTCCTTATAACATTTCTACTAAAGCCATATAACTTCATTCCAACATTTTTCTAACATTCATTAATTTTACAGTATTTCTGTAAATAGTCTTTAAATTTTTTCCAATCTTCTTCCACCGACTCTTCTCCCTGGTCTCGGATTCTGCCAGTCATTTCCGCCAATTCCATATAGTCCATCAACTTCATCTGCCATTCTTCCCGGGTGGGTAAATCTAGTGTCTTCCAATACTTCGCGATGAGTATTCTTGCTGCTGTAGTTGCATACATTAAAAAAGTTCTATCCTTCTTTGACACCAATTGGCCCACCATGCCCAGGAGAAAGGCCTCTGGTTTCTTCAGGAAGGTATATTTAAATACCTTTTTCATTTCGTTATAAATCATCTCCCAGAATGTCTTAATCGTTGGGCATGTCCACCAAAGGTGAAAGAATGTACCTTCAGTCTCATTACATTTCCAACATTTATTGTCGGGCAAATGGTAAATTTTTGCAAGCTTGACTGGTGTCATGTACCACCTATAAATCATTTTCATTAAATTTTCTCTTAGGGCATTACATGCCGTAATTTTCATACTTGTAGTCCATAACTGTTCCCAGTCAGCCATCATTATGCTATGTCCAACATCTTGTGCCCATTTAATCATAGCTGATTTCACCGTTTCATCCTGAGTGTTCCATTTCAACAGCAAGTTATACATTTTTGACAAATTCTTAGTTTTGGAATCTAACAATTCTGTTTCCAATTTTGATTTTTCCACCTGGAAACCAACTTTTTTGTCCAAATTATATGCCTCCATTATTATCAAATAATGATAATAATGGAGCCAATCTCGCACTTTATTTTTCAATTTTTCAAAGCTCTGCAATTTTATTCTGTCTCCATCTTGATCCAGAATTTCCCAATATTTCGGCCATTTGGCCTCCATATTGAGTTTTTTCTGTGCCTTCACTTCCATTGGTGACAACCATCTTGGGGTTTTCTTTTCTAACAAATCTTTATATCTTATCCAAACATTAAACAATGCTTTTCTAACAATATGATTTTTAAACGCTTTATGTACTTTTACCTTATCGTACCACAAATATGCATGCCAACCAAATGCATTATTGAAACCTTCTAAATCCAACACGTCAGTGTTTTCAAGAAGCAGCCATTCTCTCAGCCAGCAAAAAGCCGCTGATTCATAATAAAGTTTGAAGTCTGGCAGGGCAAATCCACCTCTTTCTTTAGCATCAGTTAATATCTTAAATTTTATTCAAGGCTTTTTGCTGGTGAGAAGGTCTGCCCCAAGGAACTTCAGAACAAAAGCTTATATAGTAGTTCAAACACAGCAAACAAAGAGTTACAAAACATCTTCATGTACATCAGGTAAGGTTACAGGTCTGGAGAAATAACACATTTATGGCTCCATACTGGTATCACCTTGGAGTGACCCCAATGTGTCCAGACCATTTGACCATTTTAGGTCTTGGATGTCTGGCGTTACCTTGGCAACCTTGCCTCCAGTGAGGGAAGAGCAACATAAAATCCTCTTCCTGGGGCTCAGATAGCTTCAAAGATAGCTGATTTATCCTCTTGTGCTAAAACATCCTGCCATTTGTACCACTTTCAGGGTTAGATAAGGAGACATGGAATGCAGCGTAGGAAGGCGAGACTCACAAATGCAGAACACATGAAAATCAAGCCTAATACATTCTAAAAAGTTAAATGCAATTGAAGTGAAACATTGAAACATTATTAAAATAAGAAGAATATACACCTGGGGTCTCTAATTTTTATACCAGTGTAATGAGCTCAAACCATCTTGCTAAGGTGAGCAACCTGGCTGCTGAAGTCTGCACTAGCTGAAGTTTCTGAACCGTCTTCAGAGGCAGCCCCACATATAACACATTGCAGCAATCTAACCTTGAGGTTACAAGAGCGTAGATGACAGTAGTAAGGCTATCCTTGTCCAGATAGGGGTGTAGCTGGGTCACCACCCAATGCTGATGGAAAGCACTCCGTGCCACTGAGGCCAGCTGAGCCTCAAGTGACAGCAAAGGAACCAGGAGTGCCCCAAGCTATGAAGCTGCTCCTTCAAAGGAAGTGTAACCCCATCAAGAGCAGGCAATCTCCCACCCTTCTGGTCTAGGCCACAGTGCCTCATTCTTACCTGGATTCTTACTTGGCTTCAGTTTTTTTGGCTCTGATTCAGTCCATTATTGAGGCAAGGCACCAGTCCAGCACTTCCACTGCCTCACCTGCAGAAGCAAAGGAGAAATAGAGTTGAGTGTCACCAGCATATTGTTGCAATACTCCAAATCTCCAGATAACCCCAGCTAGTGGTTTCAGGTAGATATTGAAAAGCATAAGGGATAGGATTAAGCACTGCAGAACCCCACGTTGGAGGCTCCATGGGTCTGAAAAACACTCCCCAAGCAACACCCTCTGGAAATGACCATCCAAGTCGGACTGGAACAACCGCAAAACATTGCCACCCACCCCTAGTTTGGACAGCTGGCAGGAGAATGAACAGGTATTTGTTTCCCTTGTTTCCAGAGGTCATCATACAAGGCAACCAAAGCAGTTTCTGTGCCAAAACCAGGCCTAAATCCTGATTGAAATGCACAGTGGTACCTCAGGTTACATACACTTCAGGTTACAGACTCCGCCAACCCAGAAATAGTGCTTCAGGTTAAGAACTTTGCTTCAGGATGAGAACAGAAATCAGGCTCCGGCGGCACGGCAGCAGCGGGAGGCCCCATTAGCTAAAGTGCTTCAGGTTATGAACAGTTTCAGGTTAAGTACGGACCTCCGGAACGAATTAAGTACTTAACCTGAGGTACCACTGTATCTAAAAAAACAGTTTCTTCCAAAAGTGCCTGGATCTGGAGCAAGTGATTTGCATTTCACAACCATTACTATAAAAAGAGTATACCATGAAAAGCAAAACAACTCCCATAAGAACACCAATAGCAAAATTGTCATCTGCAGCAAAAGGTCTGGGCAAAAGATAAGTCTTTCCTGTTGCTGAAAAAAAAATGTTAACAAAGGTGCTTGACAGACCTTGCCTGGGAAAGCATCTCCTCTCATTTCTTCCTTCCTTTGCCTTTCCCTCTTTTCTTTTGTTGTTTTCCTTCCTTCCTTCCTTTCAATTTCATTTGTTCTAGATATCATTTTATTGTATTGTGAAAACTTTATTAAAAATTCCGGGGGGAAATAATGCAAGTGGACCTCGCTGGAGAGAGCATCCCACAGACAGGAAACCACAGTTGTGCCATGGAGAAGCTTCCCATAGAAATCTGTTTGGACACTGTGAGAAGATAACCCTGGACTAGGTGGGTCTAAAAGGGCGGGTCTAACAGGGCTCTTCATATGATTTTATGAACTAAAAGCAGTTCCAATGGATCGGACAAAAGTCTTTTTGTGAGTTGG